CCTCTGTGGCAGTCTCGGTAGTTCGTTTCCTAAGCCAGGCGGGTCTGCAGTATTCCAGGGCACTGCTGATGACAGTCAGGTTCGATGGCAGGACCTGGAAGGGCAGACCAATCACTGAGGGCAGGGAATCATCTCACTCAGCTCCTGGCAACCTTGCAAACCAAAGCCCTAATGGGTAGGGTGGTCCTTCATGGACAAGCAGCAGGAAAGCTTGCTGGACAGGAATATCAATGGCAAGCTATGCGGTTTTAGCTGGTTAGACTCCCGCCGTACCCCAACGCATACTCTGGGTACCCCAAGCCTTGCCTCGTCTAATACTGCGTCTAATACTTTCCGGAATTAGGTAAGGATGTGTCCCTCTGGGATTTCCATGTGTAGATGGGATGCATGGAAATCTCAGCTTGGTTTGGATACTCTTAAGCACAATGGAGGGTTTCTGCATGTGTCAGACATCCAGCTGACCAAAAAAAAATACATTCAAACACACATCAATTATAGGAGCAGATCACACTGATGCAAATTAAAAAGAGTCAGGGCTTTTTTTGGATGACACCCTGTTTAAAACCATACAGGCAGATTCCATGCACCTCCCTTTACTGATTGGGACGTGAAAGGCACTATACAAATATAATTTTGTTGTGGTTGTTGTTGGGAATGGAACCACAACAAATTCATGATAAACAGCTGTTCTTTGTTGTTTGCTGAGCTATTAGAGTTAAAGTCTCCCTGAAAATGAGGAAAGAAAGGAGCCTTCAACCCTACAGGCTTGGATTGGGTCAGTGATGATCTGCACAGAAACCTAATTTGTTCATTGGGAACAAATCTCCCAAAGCAAGTGCTACTCTGAAGAGAGGTTAGAATACTGACATGGGTTTAATGCATTGCACTCTTTCACTTTACAGGTTTGTGGAAACTCAAAGGCTGCAGTTTGCTAGCATGTAGATGAATCGAAGCAGGGAGAGAGGTGAAACGTGTAACAGTGTGTACAGACACGCACTGGCTTCATGTGTCCATACCAAGGTAGTGTTGCTGAGTGTGAAGAACAGCGGGAGCAGAAAATCTGAAACCATAAGAAAATGGAGGTTAAATTTATAGCAACTTGCTGACAGAGACCTTCAGGTGATGGTACAAGACTGGAAAGGGGAGAAATTAACTTGTAAGCCATCCCAACCTAAATAACATTTTACCTTTTTATTGTGCGTCAGCCTCACTTTACCACAACACACTAAAAAAGTAGCAGCGAAAAGCACTGCTGCACACTTGCTGTTGCTGAAGGAATCACTCAGCTAATCTCCGGCTGAACTGCCAACTCAATAGAATTTGCGGACATAGGACTTCATTGGTTTAACTGCAGCCCGGGCCTCACGCTGCAGCCCGGGCCTCACGCTGCAGCCCGGGCCTCACTATAATTTATAGCACCTTTTGTGTTGGAACAATGTCTCAAAGTGTTTTAAATGTCTGTGATCTTTTCATTATGGTTTTACAACAGAATTTCCATTCCATGAACATAAACAGCTCACTAGCAGCACACCATAACAATAATAAATCCTTTCATTTGATATAGCACTTTTCACATCGTCTAGAACTCTCAAAGTGCTTCACAGAATATACTGTCAAATGAATTGATCGTATATTTGTGGGCGAATATACACACGATGGTCTGTCGTGGCTTGTTAAGAGCTTCATAGATGCTGAATTTTTTTTTTGGTCTGACACATGCAGAAACCCATCACCATGCTTAAGAGTATCTAAACCAAGCTGAGATTTCTATGTATCCCAACTACACATGGAAATTCCAGAGATAGATTTTTGGATTGGAATGCACACTCTCTCCCTGCAGGACGCATCCTGCTTACCCAATTCCGGAAAGTATTAGATGCAGGTCGGCACAAGCCAAGGCTTGGAGGCCCTAGTGTGTGCATTGGGGTACTGCTGAAGTTTAACCATAAGAATATAACAATTTGCTGGCGAAAGAAGACCAAGGTCATCTAGTTCGCCTTCCACCATCCTGGCAGTCACTTGACATGTCGTGTCCCAAACTATACACTGTATCCGGACATATTATTTCCTAGCAGAAATCTATCTAATTTATTCTTGAAACAAATTACGTATTCTGCTTCCAATGTTTCTCTAGGGAGCCCGTTCCATAAGTTTACTAGTCACTCACTGAAGTAGTGTTTCCGCAGATTTTTTCTGAATTTACCCCCTTCAGTTGTAGGCCATGTCCTCGGGTTATACTATTCAGTACAAGATAAAACAGCTTGTCATGGTCTACACTATCTATTCCCTTCAGAATCTTAAAGACCGTAATCATATCAACCCCCAACCTTCTCTTCTCATGCTCAGTTTATCTAATCACTCCTTGTAGTCCAGTCCCTCAATCATTTTGGTTGCCCTCCTCTATCCTCTCAATTGCTGCAATATCCTTTTTATATTGCTTCACCAGAACTGCACACAAGTGCGCACCAGTGATTTGCAAAGTGGCAGGATTACCCCATTATTTCGGTTCAATATTGCTCTTTTGATACAGCCTAGCATTTAGTTTGCCTCACTGCTACTGGGCACTGTTGGGATAGCTTCATTTTATTATCAATCAGGATCTGCGGGTCCTTTTCATTTTTTTTTAAACAGCACAGAAAGAGGCCATTCGGCCCATCGCATCTGCGCCAGCTGCTAAAAGAGCAACCCAACTCAATCCCACTGGCCCGTTTTCTCTCCATAGCCCTGCAATCCTGTCCTCCCCAAATGCCCATCTACTTCTCTCTTAAAAGTTGTTATTGAATCGGCTTTCACTACCCTTTCAGGTAATGCATTCCAGATCCGAACAACTCGCTGGGTGAAAATAAATTTCCTAACCTCCCGTCTGTTTCTTTTAACAACTATCTTAAATCGATGGTCTCGGGTTACTGATCCACATGCCAGTGGAAACAGTTTTTCCCGGTTCAACATGTCCTGCCACCTTCAGAGATTTGCTTATGTGGATCCCAGGTCTCTCTCTTCATTTGCCCCCTTTAGGATTGTACCATCAGCTTATACTGCCTCTCCTCATTCTTTCTAACAAAATGCAACACTTCGCATTTCTCCAAATTAAATCTCATCTGCCACGATTCTGCCCATTTTTCCAATCTGTCTAAGTCCCCTTGGAGTCTGGTGCTACCCTCCTCACCATTGACTACTTTTCCTAGCTTAGTATCATCTGCAAATTTGGAAATTGTGCTCCCTATATCCAGGTCCAGATCATTCATATAGATCAGAAAGAGCAGTGGTCCCAATACCAATCCCTGAGGGACACCACTACACACCTCCTTCCAGTCAGAAAAGCAACCGTTTACTACCACTCTCTGCTTTCTGTCTCCCATACAGTTCTGGATCCATGTTGCCTCAGTCCCTTTAATACCGTGGGCTTCTATTTTGTTTCTAAGTCTCTTATATGTCACTTTGTCAAATGCCTTTTGAAAATCTAGATAAACTACGTCTATTGCACTACCTTCATCCACCCTCTCAGTCACTTCATCAAAAAATTCTATTAGGTTTGTCAGACACGATCTGCCTTTAAACAAATCCGTGTTGATTGTCCTTTATTAAACCATATTTTTCTAAGTGAGAATTTATATTGTCCCGGATTATAGACTCCAGAAGTTTCCCTACTATTGATGTTAGGCTGATTGGCCTGCAGTTCTCAGCCTTTGAACGTCCTCCCGACGTGAAAGGCACTCTATAAATGAAATCTTGTTGTTGTTGTTGTTCTGCCCCTTTTTGTACAAGGGAGCAACATTTGCAACCTTACAGACATCTGGCACCACTTCAGTGTCCAAAGAGGATTGAAAGATTGTGGCCAGAGCCTCCGCTATTTCCACCCTTTCTTCCCTCAGTAACCTAGGATGCATCCTGTCTGGACCAGGTGACCTATGTTGAGCACAGACAGCCTTTTTAGTACCTCCTCTCTGTTGATTTTTATCATATCCAATTTCTGTTCACATGCCTGTGATATTGTGGCATTGGTTGCATCGTCTTCTTTTGTGAAGACATTTGCAAAGTACTTATTTAGTACATCAGCCATGCCCTCTGCCTCAACAAGAAGATTTCCACTTGGGTCCCTAATTGGACCCACCCTATCTTTGACTAACCTTTTACTCTTGATATGCTTATAAAATACCTTAGGGTTCCCTTTTATGTTTTCTGCTAATCTTTTTTCATACAATCTCTTTGCCCTTCTTATTTCCTTTTTACTTCTCCTCTGTACTTCCTATGATTATTTTCGGTACAGATTATTTTCTTACCATTTAAATAATAGTTCCTTTCTGGGTTTTTTGCCCCCATCCTGCATTTCTCTACATTAAATTTCATCTGCCATCGATCTGCCCAATTCCCAAGAATGTTCAAGTCCTCTTGTAACCTATCCTGTTCATCTTTGCAGTCTACACCTTCATTAGGTTTGTGCTTGTGACTCCTAGCTCCAGATCATTTATGAAGATGTTAAGTAAAAGAGGTGCCAAAACAGACCCCTGTGAAACTCCACTGGTAACATTCTCCCAGCCTGATGACATTTTCTGTGCCACCACCTTCTAGGTTCTATCGGTCAGCCAATTACGTATCCATTGTAAGATACCTGATTCCCTTTCTTTATTTTCAGTACCAGCCTTTCTCGAGGAACTGTATCAAAGGCCTTACTGAAATCCAGCTAAAACACATAGCTTACTATTGATATTGTTCTCCAGCAAGCTTTCCCACTGCTTGTCCAGCTCAGATCACCCTGTCCGTTAGGGTTTTGGCTTGCAGGGTAAACAGGAGCTGAATACAGCTACAACCACAATCACAATATGCAGTGAAGCCTTGTGAAACTTTCCAGGCTGGGCAAATATTTGTTACGCTCGCTGTAACTAGCATTTAATTAGCTTTTTACATGCAAAAATCTGAAACAAAGAAACTTTTAGCCACGCTATTGCCGTACCTTCCCACAGTTTCTGCAGTGATGCCGTCGCCTGAGGATGGTAAACGGAGCTTTACAGGACATGCACTGACTGCACGCAGAGTCAGTAATCCATTCCGGAGGCACTGTAACACAAACCAAGGTAAGACATCGGCTGTCACCTTCCTACAGATAAACCCAATTATATTGGAAAATTCTTCCTCTGGAATGTATTAACGGACACGCATTACGCAAAATAAATATTTCAGTACATGTACTTGGTTTTAGATTCAATACCATGTCAGAAATGTGCCTTTAGCAAGTAATATCAGCAAGTACCCAGAACACAGAGATTTACCATGGTTTGGAAGCTCTAATAGTTTCATTCTGTATTATGACCACATTCTGTACCTTCTAGTTTATTGTTGTTTGAGGTGGACGCTCTGGATGAATGGGAACGAGATTGTTGGCAAAGCACGCAATCCTCCAACGAGGGATCCTCATCCCTCCTCTCCTCTTCTGTAAGAAATAGAACAACCACCAACCCCAGAAATTCCAAGTTTGAAAACAATCGATTATGTCAAAGCAAAGTTCTTCTTTGAGTCAGATATAAAATTACTGCATTCCAAATAGTGGTTGTTTTTCTGACTGGAGTGAAGTGTCTCTCAGAGCTCAGTATTGGGACCACTGCTTTTATTGATCTGTATAAATGACTTGGAGTCCTGTAGCTCAGTGGTTAGAACACTCGCCTCACAAGCGAGAGACCTGGATTTGATTCCCAGCAGGGCAAAACCTTGGGCAAGTTTCCTTACTCCACACAACTGATCCCTCAAGAAAAAAAACAATAATAATTTGGTCACCTTAACGTACAGCTGCCTGTGGAACACTGCTGTGTGCAATTGGCTGCCACGTTTCTCCCACAAATATACAGTCAATTCACTTTACAGTATATTCTGTGAAGCGCTTTGAGACATCTAGAAGACGTATAAAGCACTATATCAAATGCAAGGTTTATTATTATTGTACTTGTGTATAGGGAGTACAATTTCCAAGTTTGCAGATGATACTAAGCTAGGAAAAGTGAGGAGTATAGCAAATGGACATAGACAGACCGGTAAAATGGGTAGACATGTGGCAGATGACGTTTAATGTGGAAAAATGCGAAGTGATGCATTTTGGGAGGAAGAATGAGGAGAGGCCATATAAGCCGATGGTACAGTCTTGTAGGGGTTCATATAACTAAATCTTTGAAGATGGCAGGACAGGTAGATAAAGCTGTTAAAAAAGCATACGGGATACTAAAAACAAAAACAGAAGTCGCTGGGAACACTCAGCAGGTCAGGCAGCATCTGTGAAGAAAGGAAAGCGAGTCAACGTTTCGGGTCCACGACTCTTCGTCAGAACTGGGGCATGTTAGGAGGGAGAGGCTTTTAGGCTAACAGAAAGGGGGGAGGTAGAGCAAGGAAGGCAAAGGAGAAAATGGGGTAGAGGACAGGGGATGATGGGTTAAAGAGGTGTATTAACAAAGGGGAGATTGCAACAAAGCAGGGGAATAGAGGTGTTAATAATACTGTAGAATAAAGAGGGGGGAGAAAACTTGCAACAAAACAGGCAGGTCAGGGGGCTGTGAAAACGGGTTTTAGTGAGAACCTCATCAAACACAAGGGAAACAGATAGCAAAGAAGGAGAGCAGGGTAAAAGAGAAGAACGAAAGTCACGTCGAAGAGAAGAGCAAAACTTCTAGGCTTTATAAATAGGGGCATAGAATACAAAAATGTTATGATGAACCTTTATAAAACACTGGTTAGGCCTCAACAACAACAGCAACAAGATTACATTTGTATAGCGCTTTTCATGTTGGGAGTACGTCCCAAGGCGCTGGACAGAGTACAGCATTTCAGACCCGAGCTGGGGTTGGGGGGGTAAGGAAGGGAAGGGGAGGGGAAGGGGGGTGGCCAATGGCATGGTCAAAGAGGAGGGTCTTGAGGTGGGACTTGAAGGAAGCTAAGGAGGGGGCAGGGCGGAGTGACTGGGGAATGGAATTCCAGAGGTTGGGGGCAGAGTGGCTGAAGGTTCTCCCGCCAATGGTGGGGCGGGTGGGTCGGGGGACGTGGAGCAGGCCAGAGACGGCTGAGCGGAGGGAACGGGTGGGTTTGTAGGGGGGTTACGAGGTCGCAGATGTAGGGTGGGGTGAGGCCATGGAGGGCTTTGTATGTGAGGACCAGGATTTTGAACTGGAACCTCTGATGGATAGGAAGCCAGTGTAGTCGGGCAAGAGTGAGTCAGCTGGAGTAATGTGTTCAGTTCTGGGCACCACACTTTAGGAAGGATGTCAAGATATTGGAGAGGGTGCAAAGGACCAGGATGGTACCAGGAATAAGAGACTTCAATTATCAGGAGAGGCTAGAGCAGCTAGGATTATTCTCCTTGGAACAGAGGAGGAGGAGACTTAATGGCAGTTTTCAAAATTATGAGGGGATTCAATAGGGTGAACAAGGAGAAACCACTTACACTGGCGAGTGGGTCGGTAACCCGAGACACTGATTTAAAACAGTTGCTAAAAGAAACAGAGGGGAGGTGAGGAGATATTTTTCACACAGCAAGTTGTTCAGATCTGGAATGCATTGCCTGAAAGGGTGGTGGAAGCTGATTCGATAATAACTTTTAAGAGAGAAGTAGATAATTATTTGGGATGGACAAGTTTGTAGGGCTATGGGGAGCAAATGGGATTGATTGGATAGCTCTCTTCAAAGAGTCGGTACAGACACAATGGGCTGAATGGCCTCCTTCTATGCTGTATAACCTACCAAGAATAGAGGGGAACCAAGAAGAAAATGTTAGCGAGCAACTTGGGGGAATATTAGTAAAGAAATGGTTTTAGGTAAATTGTCAGGTCTTAAAATTGCTAAATCTCCTGGACCTGATGGCCTAAATCCCAGGGTTTTAAAAGAGGTGGCTAATGAGATAGTGGATGGCTTGTCTTTGATCTTCCAAAATTCTCTGGATTCTGGAATGGTTCCAATTGATTGGAGGATTGCAAACGTAACACCACTATTTAAGAAGGGTGGGAGAGAAAAGATGGGAAACTATAGACCAGTTAGTCTGACTTCAGTGGTAGGGAAAATTCTTGAGTCCTTAATTAAGATGTCGTTATGGGATTCCTGGAAGACCATAACAAGATTAGGCAGAGTCAACATGGCTTTACAAAAGGGAAGTCATGCTTAACTAATCTTTTAGAGTTTTTTGAAGATATATCTAGCAGGTTAGAAAGGGGGGAACCAGTAGATGTAGTATATTTAGATTTTAAAAAGGTATTTGGCAAAGTGCCACAGAAAAGGCTATTGCACAAGGTTAAGGCCCACTGGATTAATGGGAACATATTCGCATGGATTGAAGAGTGGCTAACGGGTAGAAAACAGAGAGTAGGGATAAACGGGTCATTCTCGAATTGGCAGGACGTGACTAGTGGAGCGCTACCAGGATCAATGCTTGGGCCTCAGCTACTTACAATTTACATCAGTGATCAAGACGAGACATTGAATGTTACTAATGACATCTTGACAATTTGCGACCAGGGCTCCCTCTGCCTCCTTGACCTATCGGCCGCATTCGATACAGTCGACCACTCTATTCTCCTCCACCGCTTGTCCTCCCACCTCAACCTTCAAGGCCCTATCCTTGAGTGGTTTAGCTCCTACCTCTCCCACCGTCTTCATTTTGTCTCTGCAAACGGCTTTTCCTCCGGCCCCCGCACTGTCTCGTGCGGTGTCCCTCAGGGCTCTGTCCTCGGTCCCCTCCTTTTCACCCTCTATATGCTCCCCCTGTGGTGACATCATCCGCAGACATGGGGTTAACTTCCACATGTATGCGGATGACACCCAACTCTACCTTTCCTCTTCTACCCTCAACTCCACGACCACCAATGTCCTGACAGCTGCCTGTCCGACATTGAATCCTGGACGAGAGATAATTTTCTTCAGCTCAACATGCGCAAAAGTGAGGCCCTCCTGATTGGCTCGTGTCAGCGCCTCCGCACCTCAGGCACTGACAGCATCAGCATCCAAGGCTGCACTCTCCACCTCTCAAAGCCAGTCAGGAACCTCGGGGTTCTGTTCGACCCTGAGTTGTCCTCTCTTCCTCATATCCGCGCCACAACTGGCACCGCCTTCCATCACCTCCGGAACATCGCCAGACTACGGCACTACCTCACCCCTCATGCTGCTGAAACATTGGTCCACTCCTTTATCACCTCAAGGCTGGACTACGGGAACTCTCTCCTCGCCGGCCTTCCCGGCACCTCCCTCCACAAGCTGCAGGTCATTCAGAACTCTGCAGCTCGTGTACTGTCCCGCACCAGGCTTCGCGACCACATTACTCCCACCCTCGCTCGCCTCACTGGCTCCCCATCCCCCAGAGGATCGATTTCAGGATCCTCATCCTCACCTACAAGGCCATTCACGGCCTTGCACCCTCTACTTCTCCGACCTACTATCCCCCTACTTACCTGCCTGTACCCTCCGTTCCTCTGGCTCCGGTCTGCTCCACATCCCCCGCCCTAACCGCCCTACCATCGGTGGTCGGGCTTTCAGCCTCTCAGCCCCGAGGCTCTGGAATGCCATCCCCCAGTGCCTTCGCCGCCTCCTCCCTTTCCTCCTTCAAGGCCGGTCTCAAGACCTTTCTCTTCAACCTTGCCTTCAGCTCCCCTCTTGACTCTCTACCCCTCCTCGCTCACTCCCTCCCTTCCCTCCCCCTGACCATTTCCCCCCTGCTCGGGTCCCGACCCAACTGTCCAGCGTTTTGGCGCGTTCTCCTGAAGTGAAAGGCGCTCTATAAATGCAATCATGTTTTTGTTGTTGTTGTATCTAAATTTGCGGATGACAATAAACTAGGTGGGAGAGTAAGCCCTGAGGATGATGCAAAAAGATTGCAACGGGATATAGATAGGCTAGGGGAGTGTGCGAGTAGGTGGCAGATGGAATTTAATGTGGGGAAGTGTGAAGTTATTCACCTAGGTAGGTAGAAAAAATAGAAAAACAGATTATTTTCTAGAGGGGGAGAGATTAGATAGTGTTAGTGTGCAGAGGGATTTGGGTGTCCTTGTACACCAGTCTCAAAAAGTTAGTTTGCAGGTGCAGCAGCAACTAAGAAGGCGAACGGCATGTTAGCATTCATTGCAAAAGGTTTAGAGTACAAGAGTAGGGAAGTCTTGCTGCAACTGTATAGGGCCTTGGTGAGACCGCACCTAGAGTACTGTGTGCAGTTTTGGTCTCCTTATTTAAGAAAGGACATACTTGCCCAAGAGGGGTTGCAGCGTAGATTCACTCGGTTAGTTCCTGGAATGAGGGGACTGACCTATGAAGATAGGCTGAAGTTTTAGGGCTGTATTCTCTAGGGTACAGAAGGATTAGGGGAGATCTTATTGAAACATATAAGATTCTTAAAGGGCTGATAAAGTAGACACTGAGAGTCTGTTTCCCCTGGTAGGAGAATCTATAACCAGGGATCACAGTCTTAAAGGAGTCCTGTGGCTCAGTGGTTAGAGCACTCGCTTTGCAAGCGAGAGAACTGAGTTCAATTCCAGGCAGGGAGAAAGCTTGGGCAAGTTTCCTTACTCCACACGCCTAATAATAATCCCTCCAAAAAACAAAAAACAATAATAAATTGGTCATTTTCAATCTACACCTGTTTGTGGGACACTGCTGTGCGCAATTGGCTGCCGCATTCGCCCACAAATATACAGTCTAGAAGACGTGAAAAGTGCTATATCAAATGCAAGGATTATTATTTATTATTAAAATTAAGGGTCAGCCTTTTAGAACAGAGTTGAGGAAACATTTCTTCACTCAGACGGTAGTGAATTTATGGAATTCACTACCCCAGAAGGCTGTAGATGCTCAGTCCTTGAACATCTTCAAGGCTGAGACTGATAGATTTTTAAAAAATAGAGCGATTAGGGGATATGAGGATAGGGCAGGTAATTAGAGTTCAGTCTGAAGATCAGCCATGATCTTATCGAATGGCGGGGCAGGCTCGAGGGGCCGAATGGCCTACTCCTGCTCCTAATTCTTATGTTCTTACGTATATTTCTGTGATTCTACACTTTGCATGCATTTCATCTGAAGAGAGAGGTGCTGTCCTTCAGATGAGACATTAAACCAAGGTCTCGTCTGCCTGCTCAGGTGGAAGTTAAAGATCACATGACACTATTTGGCAAGAGTAGGGAGTTTCTCCTGGTGTCTTGGCCAACTCAGTCACTCACTCTGCGTGCGCAAATTGTCTGCTTCATTATTGTCATAATTATGATTATGTAACTGTGTCTGCAGCTCTAGCGTTTGGTCTGCATACTGGTGCAACACTGAGTCCATTACAGACACATGTCAGAGACCTCCAGTCTCCTCAATCCATGTTAAAGAGATTTCTGGGTGTTCTCCAGACCACCTGAAAGATAGGCAACAGTCTCAACATTTTATTATAACATTTTAAGAGGTTCACCTACAAAATATACAGTCAGTACACTTTACAGTAAATCCTGTGAGGCACTTTGAGATGTGCTGCCAAACGTGAAAAGTCCTATACCAAATATAGCGATTAGTATTGCTAGGATTATTATAAACTGCCAGGATACATGTGACTTTTGGATCTTCCTATGAAAGTCAAAATATCTAGTAAAAAATCAGTGCTGGAACCCTAGTCTGTGGAGTTAATAATAATCCTTGCATTTGAGGATTATCACATTGTTAAGACGTCTCAAAGCGCTTTACAGAATCTATTGTGAAGTGGATTGACTGTTTTGTTGAAACATTACAAACTGTTACTGACTGTACCTGCTTTCTGTTCCAGTCAACCTCCATTTCTGGTCTGGATGTTGCGATCTGAAATACTGCCTTTAAAATCCGCCGCAAGTCTCCAGCAAAGTTGGTCTGAAGCTGGTCTGCTACACCTTTCCCAAACAGACAGTTGCTCTCTGAGATTAATGCAGTGTACACAGCAATAACGGAACACAGAGTCCAAGAAGGTCACATTTTACAGAGAAAGGTAGGAACACAATACCTGAAACTAAGAGACTTATGGTGTGATGGTACATGCACAAATGAGGTTAAACAAAAAATAATAATCTAATCCTTTCAAATGACCACTTTGAAAATAATACGTTAGAGTTATAGCAATAAAATAGAAACACATTTGATTTGGCAGATAATTGGCCCTTTGCACCAATGTTTGGGGAGGGAGGAAACAAGACAGAGAGAGAAAGAAAAGATTAGCAAGGTTTCCAGCTTTTATCTAGTTGCCCCACTAGAACATGCATGCTACATGATCCTCCTCAGTTAAATGACCTGCTTCAACCAAGCCTAAGCTGAACTCCACGGTGCCGTACATTGGTTCTGCAATGTGTTGCCTCTTTTGTCACCCCACCCCATAAAATCACATTCTGCAGCAATTTTTAGTGTTCTAAAAGCAATTGTTCATCCTTTGAGTACAGAGTCTCTGACCTGAAATACAGACAAATAGGCGGTGAATCATGTCACTGCTACTGTGATATCGAGATCGGACGTTCTCCCGCGCTGTGGCTTTGATTGCCCGGACCTTGCATCTCAGTGCTTCTTCGTGAGCTGTGGCCAGAGGTACGGTTTCAATGTCAGACTTTCTGTCAGCAGCAAATGTGAATAAATCAGTGAAGAGAAGCACTTCAGATCATTTTGTCAAACATATTTCTGGCAGTGAAACCATTACATGGATTTACATACAATTTTAAAAACATATTAGGAACGATCTAAAAACTGATGTGTGTAGACGCGCGCGCACGCGCTTGTGCGTGTGCATGCACACAACTGGGAAAACAAAGCGTCTGACACATATCCAGGATGAACCCATTGTCCAGTGACAGTGACCCTCCAGAAGCTTTCTACTGTCTGGATGCTTTACCAAAGTCAACTGGATTTCTCTCCCTGTCGCTCACTGCAGAGCGAGCCCAGCCATATACCAGTTCTCAATAGTTTGTAACAGAACCCCCACCTCCTACCCCCCAATTTAGTGTGAGACTCCAATGTAGGACTGTCCTCGCTGGATATGTATCATGCTGTGCTATTGCCAATATTTTCATTGCTTTAAGAATATTCTTCTGTGAAGCCCAAGTTATCACATTGGTCTTTGTCGATCATAAAAGTCCCCATGGACTACATGTAATTCTTATTAAGGTTACGTTCGATGAGTAGACATGGAATGCTCAATGTCTTTCTAAGCCTCTCACCTGCTGTGCAGATCACCAGGTGACTGGGATAGGTTTGTGATCCCTCCTTCACAAGTGGCACCTTTATTCATTTCATTCCCATTACTTTTCATCCCAATGCGCAAATCAGGGTGGTCCATGCGCTGTCTATTCACATTTCCCCCAGGAAACAATGCAAGTCCAGATGCCCGGTTTAAAATCTCCTCAGCATAAGAAGTGTAACATGGTGAACGGGGAGTGGGAGTCTGTTCATATATTGTTGGGAAGTTGCTCGTATCCAGGGTCTCAGATTGAAACGTACAAGAATTTGATGCAAATGTCCCTTTTGTGCCAAGTTCATCATTAAGTTCTGAATCATCAGCTTTCAAATGAAAGTCATCATCTCTCATACTATTGTCCTTTGAATAATTCACGTCATCAGTGCTGGCAAAAGATAACATTTCAGGAGTATCACTGAAGAACCTTTCACGACTAAGTTCACTCTCATCAGCATCCCGTCCAGTAGCAGTGCTCAGATGAAACATTTGCCCTCGTATTTCCATTTCTTCTTCATTTCTTCTCTTGGGTCTCAAGCTAGCAGTGTCTGATGAATCAGTCGTTTCAGTACGTGTTTGGTTTGGTAGGTTGGAGGCACAAGACAACCCATCTTGGTGGATGATTAGCTTCAGGGGATCATGTGGACGAGCATACTGGACAGACAAAACCTCACCATCAATGGCTCGAGTATTCAGTGAGCCGTTCTGAAGGGATGAAAGACTGGGCAACATTGTCTGTGTATTGAAGAAATCCACAGGCTCTGCAGCACACAGACTCTTCTCCAATACAAAAAGTTCCTCATCGGTGAGGACATAAAGTATGTCCCTGGAGATAAAATGGAAGATACAATTAGTTAGCATTGCAGTACCTATCTACAATACATCTCTCTTACATCCTAGCTTTACATCCCTCTCGGTTATCCCAAGTATGTACGATTCCTCAGCCACTCTCTGGTATTTTGTCCAAGTGGAAAATCTGGAGTCCAGTGCTTAGTGGTTAGAGCACTCGCCTCGAAAGCAAGAGACCTGGGTAGGGCGAAACATTGGGCAATTTTCCTTACTCCACACGCCTCTGTTTACATCGCAGTAAGTAGGAACCCGGTGTTATTCGATTGGCAGATCGTTTTTCCGGGGGGTAATAATAATAATTTTCCTTAAAAAAAATGGGTCACTCAATCCACAATTGTGGACATCGCTGTGCGCAATTGGCTTCTGCATTTCGCCCACAAAATATACAGTCAATTCACTTTACATTATATTCTGTGAAGCGCTTTGAGCCGTCTCGAAGACGTGATAAGGCGCTATATCAAATGCAAGGATTATTATTATTATAATACTCTCCATGTGGGCCTTGATAGAGAATAGCAGGCAGCGACTGGCGGTTCTATCAAAGGCAAGTTATGCGGTTTTAGCTGGTTAGACTCCAGCAGTTACTCCAACGCACACTCTTGGGTCCCCAAGCCTTGACTCTTGCCAACCTGCACCTAATACTCTGGGGAATTAGCTGAGCAGGATGCGTCCCTTCAGGGAGAGAGTGCGCGAGAGTACAATAATTTATCTCTGGAATTTCCATGTGTAAGTGGGATGCATAGAATTCTCAGCTTGGTATGGATACTCTTAAGCATGGTGATGGGTGCATGCGTCACAAACCCGGCTGACCAAAAAAAAACTATTGTAAAGTTTCATCATTATGGCAGACTTCTGCCCCCAGAATGCTTGTTACCTTATTTTCTGAAGGATGGAATAGAAAGGGCTAAAGAGTTTGGACATATCATCATTCTGTTGGTGCAGGCTGAGAGGTCCCTCTGGATAAATCAACAGTCCACTGCACAGAAGAAAAAAAAGATGTATAATGCTTTATATAAAGAGTTTACTTCAATATGAAGGCAGGCCCTAATATTAATTTGCCTAGTAAACAGTGCATCTATCTGACTCTCCATCTCTGGATTCTTTTGTGACACGAGTCAGCATTGTGCACACCATGTTCCTAGACCCTGACTGTTCCTTGATTGACCGTTTCTGTGTTGATGTCCCACACAGCACAAACTAAGCCACGGAACATCACTCTCAATGTCAGAGGTGCCGTCCTTTGGGAAAGACGTTAAACCGAGGTCCTGTCTGCTGGATGTTAAAGATCCCATGGCACTATTCAAACAGAGATGGGAGTTTTTACCAGTGTCCTGGCCATCAATACCCCAAATAAAATGATACAGCGCAGTACCAAATGCAAAGATTATTATTATTAATTACTTCCTTCTCGTCTATAGATTTCTAGGCAGTATACTGAGTCCTCCTACCAAGATGATGAGTGAATCTTCAGAGTCTCCTTCAATACCCTACTGTGACCAGCCAGCAGGGGACCCAAGAGCTGTAACACCATGAATTCTGCTAAGCCGCAGGGTGGTCCAATCTTTTGAGAAAGGTCCGCGGGCCACACCCAGCGTGGTCCAACTTGCGGTCCATGGGCCAGATTCAGCCCGGCGGTTGATTTTATCCAGTCCAAAACCATTTCCAACATTCCAACTTCCGCTCCCTCTCTGGTGAACGTCCTCCCAGGGCAGCAGCAGGAGCCGGCGGTTCGGCGGACTCAGCGCAGAGTGTGGAAATAACACCACCCATTACTGCAGTCGCCCTCAACCAATCGCCCACCCTCAAACAATCCCCCGCCCTCTCGCTCTCAGTTTTTTTTTCCACCTCTCCCTCACATTCACTCCCTCCCCCTCTCACTCCCTCACATTCACTCCCCTTCCTCCCACACCCTCCCACTCCCACACCCTCGTTGGCCAGGCTCCAAGGACCTTCTCAACCGATGGAAGCGGAGCTTCTTACCAGATGATAGCGAGCCGGGGGATGGTAAACATCAGCACAGGCTCCAGGCTATCAATCATCTCCTGAGACAAGTAGCCCAGCTTCAAGGCCCTGCAGTAGAGGAAACAAGTGATGTTACACACCACCAAATGGTCACTGGTGACTTGTAAACATTGCCTTGGGCTAATGCAGCAAGAATGGTAGAAGTGGCTGCAGGCGACTAATACTGGATCAAATCTAGTTACAACACCCTTTTTCATAGAATCATGGAATTATACAGCACAGAAGGAGGCTGTTCGGCCCATCCTGTCTGTGCCGGCTCTTTGAAAAGAGCTAACCAAATCAATCCCACTTCCCCGCGCTCTCCCCATAGCCCTGCAAACTTGTCCTCCCCAAATAATTATCTACTTCTCTCTTAAAAGTTGTTATCGAATCAGCTTCCACTTCTTTTTCAGGCAATGCATTTCCGATGCAAATAACTCACTGTGTGAAAAAAATTCTCCTCAGCTCCCCTGTTTCTTTTTGTTTTAAAAGTAAAGCCTTTTTACATACACACTGGGAGATAGCATTGGTGAGACTCCCCCAGCAATGCAATCAAGACTGGCCAGCAAGAGAGGCTTCCCCTTTTCCACAGGACTTGTAGTGAAATTAAAACAATAACAGGTAATTCAAGTACTGACCTCTCTATTGTTTCGCAGAAGAGCACAATAATCTGTTGTTGCTGGAAGAGCTCCTCAGGAGATTTTATTGGCACCACAGCAGACACGTAACTGGAATGAAGTAGCAATGTTAGGAAGGACAGACAAGCTGCTGTACTTTTATTTTTGCACAAGTGACTGAAAGGTATAAGTTGTGCGACTACTTTTAGTCTCTAATCTCAGAAATTGAAAGACAGCAAGTCTATACTCACGAGTGTAAATGAAACTGCCCTGTAAAGCTTATAAGAGTAGGTTCACCTACAATGAGCAGCTTTGGTAACAATTGCTGCCAATTCACGAGTAGAAAGCTACCCCCCCAATGCAATATTTATCAGAGGCTTGATAGCTACCGCCCACTAGACAAAGAGATGCAATCATCCGGTCTACCAGGCGGTTATTGGGAACAGGAGAAGGCTGTTCAGCCCATTGAACCTGATTCATCAGTTTTGTCAATTAGATCACGTCAGATCTTTTCATCCCATTTCCCAGTCTTTTCTCCATAACTTTCAACATCCTTACTTCTGAAGTATCAATCCACCTCCCTTTTAAATCCATCTCCCAATTGATTTTTCTTTTACAGACGAAGCAACAGATTAAAGTTTGTCAGTTTGCCATGGAGGAGATGTTAAACGACTATTGCAAAAAGGTTTTGACTTTGTGCATTTGCAACTTTTCACAATACCCTATGCCCTCACCTTAGTTCAAACTCAGCGAAGGAACAATCGAACCGAACAAGAGCTTCTTTCAGGAGATCGGGATACACACTGGCGTCAGACAGACACTGGTCCCGAAGACTTCGCCGCACCTCCTCCAGGCTGTGCAGCATCTCCTCCGCCAGTGGACGCAGGAGAAGAGCTTCAGCTTCTTGCATTTCAATGAGGGAACCAGCAACTAAACACTTGAGGCGGACAGAACACTTCCCTTATACACAGTTGGCTGCCGTATTTCATCCACAAAATACACAGTCACTATACTTTACAGTATTTTCTGTGGCATCTTACGTGATAAGGCGCTATATCAAATGCAAGGATTATTATTACACAAATTTTTCTCCCCAATGCAATATTTATCAGAGGCTTGAAATGTAAGAATTTTACTGAGTTTGGAAAACTCTTCAATTCAAAAAACATTTTTTCAGTGTACTTTAAAAAGAATGGGCTTCCAATTTAACAACAGCAACAAAATTACATTTGTATAGCGTCTTTCACGTCTTCTAGACATCTCAAAGCACTTCATAGAATAGACTGTAAAGTGAATTGACAGTATATTTGAGGGCGAAAGAGACCATTTAGCCCGTCGTGCTTATGCCGGCTCTTTGAAAGAGCTCCCAAGGCGCTAGACAGTCAGTGTTTCAAACTCGAGCTGGGGGCCAGGATTGGGGAGGATGGAGGGCACGGGGGATGATCGAAAGCACGGTCGAAGAGGAGGGTATTGAGATGGGTCTTGAAAGAGGCAAGGGAGGGGGCGAGGTGGAGGGACTGTGGGATGGAGTTCCAAGGGATTGGGGAAGAGAGGCAGAAGGCCCACCCCCCAATGGTGGAACACCTTAAATTCAGATTTTAACAACTTAAATTTGAAGTTAAAACAACTTCTTAAATTCAGCCTCAATTTGGATGCTTTTTTTCAGCAGTTTTTAAAGAAAATTAATTCCAAATTAAGAGCCAATTTGAGAACTTTCTACAATTCAGTACAACCTTAAAATTTAAGGCAAAATAATCTTATAGGCTATTTCTAGGTGGAATTTCAGATCAAGAGTCTAATCATCCACATTCCAATCATGAACATTTGGAGCACCATATTAAGAGGAGCCTCTAAAATATAGTAATTTAAACAGTCAGCATGCTAGCTTCACCATCACAGAAAGGTGACTGAAAGCACAGTCAAAATGATGGGTCAAGGCAGGGAGGGAGGGGCAAAGTGGAGGGTCAATGGGATGGAGTTCTAGAGAGCAAGAGTAGAAAGCCTGAAAGCCCACTGATGGTGAGGCACGTGAAACAGGCTGGCTTTTCCTGAGTAGAGGGAAGAAGAGAGTGCTACCAACTCAGCAGGTAGCAATTGAGAAACTTGAATTGTGTTCAGTGAGTTGTACAATCGGTTCCTGATCTGAACGCTCTCAGTGCAAAGGTTTACCTCGGCAGCGAACCATAGCTGCACTTCCAGGTGGTCCTGTAAAAACTCATCTGGAAACTTGATGTGGAAATCTCGATTTGGGCGCTCATTAGGAATCCTTTCATCCATGATTTGGTTAATAATCTGCAGCATGTGTTGCTGAAAGATGGCATTGAAAAAAATATCAGTTTCTGGACAGAAGGACATGATCCTTACATTTGTTTAGTTTTGCAAAACAGGGTGGAGGGAATTCACCTGCTAATCTCTGCTTCTCCTCCACCCCCACAGAAATCCAGACACTTCTACTCATTACAATAGAACATTCATCTACAAACACACAGTCTCTATCCATTTACAATAAAGCCTGTGAAAAGCCTTGAGACTTCTCTTGATGTCTCAAAACACTTATCAAAATAGAACTGATTGGTAATGGCAGGATTCCAAAGGTGTGCTCTACAATCCATGGCAAAGTTTTTTTTCCCTTGGGGAATTCATAACAACTGCTTGTTCAGTGAAGACCACCCACCTATTCGGGCTTTCAATAGGGTTAACTGGGACTGAATATTAAGAATCCCAGCCTCCAGTGTGGTCTGCTTGTCCAAACTCACCAATGAGCCAATCTGTCATTAACAATAGCCTGGAATACTGCAGACCTGCCTGGCTCAGGTATTGGAATACTGAGACCGACACCATAAGACCAACTCTATTATGATCTGCCATTTGCCAGGCAAGTCACCTTGGAACCAACTCAGCCCCAAACAGACCTTGCCCCCAATAATAATAATCCTTGCTTTTGATATAGCACCTGATATGTTGTTCAAATGTCTCAAAGCACTTCACAGGATATACTGTAAAGTGGATTCACTGTGTATTTTGTGGGGGAAATGTAGCAGCCAGTTGCACACAACAATATCCCACGAACAGTCATCGAGTGAATGAGTATAGCCACTAATTGACACGCCTGCAGATATTTAGCTAAATGCATAGATATTGCATTCCATTTAAAGATGACTCTGAACCTGATGATTCAGCAATAGACGATGTGACATTTAAAACCCACTTAAAATTACATGAAATTGCATGAAAAGGGCGGCCTCTTTAAATGAAACCTTAATGTGCGGTTTCTGTTCAGCATTTAGTATATAATGTTTGTAACCTATACTTACAGGTGTTGTGTACAGTTGTGTAACTCAATAAACCTCATTTCTAAGTTGGAACAAGTAGTTAGTAGAACCTTGAGTTAATAATCTGAGCAAAACAACAACAACAACAAGATTCCATTTATAGAGCGCCTTTCACGTCGGGAGGACGTCCCAAGGCGCTGAAAGGTTTGGTATTGAGATCACTGTGAAGTTGAAGCAATCAGAAGCTCTACGTTTATTTTAGAACCAATATTAAAGTGACTTTAGAAGCCAATTAGAAGTTATGTAATATTTAGTAGTGCTGTAAAGGCTCCAACGGTGCAGGTTGAAGGCTAGAAGATCGCAGCTTTTGAGGTTAAGTTAGAACCACAGAAGGTCACGGACTCAGAATCATAGAAACGTACACAGTAGAAGGCCATTTGGCCCATTTCTTTGTGTTATGTGATGAAGCCACCTGTCCTAAACTCAATTCCCCACTCTTGCTCCCCACCTTTCTTGCTCCCCACCTTTCAATACCCTTCCTCTGCATGTTGTCCAATTTTCCATGCTTGCCCTGGCCAATTCTTTTTAAAAAATTTAAAATGTTCATGTCAGGATGTCCTCCGACATGAAAACACAAATGTAATTTGTTGTTCTGTTTTAAATGCCCCCAATAGACTCTGTATTAAATTGTTATGGTCTAAAAACAATTATTGATGTTTGATATAGCAGGTTGGTGGTCCAGTGGGGGAGCACTATGCCAAGCTGGGCGAGTGGAGGGAGGTGACCATAGACACGGTCGAAGAGGAAGGTCGACCTGAAGATGAGGAGGGAGAGGGCAAGGCGGAGGGATAAAGGAAGAGTGTTCCAGAGTTTCAGGGCATAGTGGCTGAAAGCGGAGCCACTGATGGTAGAACGGAGGATATGAGGAGTTTCATACATGTGTTGCAGATCATTCCATAACCTGATGACACTCTGGGAGATGATGGTTTTCCAAACCTCTCCTTTTACTTTTCTAGACGCAATCTTGAATTCATGACCTCTTGGTCTCAAATCCCCAACCAGTAAAAAGAGTTTTCATGATTAATTCTTTTACACGCTTTCGTTACCTTAAGCATCTCTATCACCCCTCAAATTTCACTACTCCAATGGTAATAATTCTAACCTCTCTAGCCTTTCCTCAAAGCTATATCAGGTTGTAAGCAAGGTTCAAAGCTGCATGTACGTGTATGGGTGTGTTAGAGGACAAGCATAAGCAATACATGTGTGATACTCTCATGCCCTCCGTTCCCATCACTGGCCACGTTTTCAGCCACTATGCCCCGAAACTCTTCTGGTCGACCTTCCTTTTCGTCCGTGTCTATGGTTACCTCCCCTCCAAGCTTGGCGTAGTGCTCCCCCACTGGATCGCTACCCAGTGTGGGTGCCGCTATACCAATGCAAAACACCGATTGTCCAGTGCCTTAGGATGTCCCCTCTATGTGAAAGGTGCTATACAAACATGATTTTGTTGTTGTTAAATTTTAACAATATTTGAACCACAAGGTTAAATACGCATCCATAGAAGCTCTGACCTGTCTGGTTCGAAGATGGTTTAAGTGTACTATGTACTGCTGGGGGTTGTTTTGCAGGTCCGCATTGTTCAGCTCAGTCAGTACTTGAGTGACTTCTTTATCAGCAAAGTAGAATTGTGCCAAAGGATGGGGACTGGATCTCTGAGTGAATACAAGAAACAAGGGTCAGAGAATGGGTTATCTTCTCTCAGTTAGAACAACACTTAAGGTGTTACAAAATCAACCTCACTGCCTAGAATGGGGCAAGCGAAAGAAATGAAGCAGTCATGGTTGCATCCAGTGCTCATTGCTGGAAAGCACGCGTGACAAGGATCTGACTCAACCGAGATGTATCTTATAAGACTGTTTGCATCGGTGTCCAGGCTCAGACATGACCACCAGTAGAGTGACCAAAACCAAAGCTAGGGCAAAATGCATTCTTGCTACAGTGCACTCTTGTAGCATTAATGGAACGAGCTTGATGTTGGGGCGGTGATGTTTTCTAGCCAACAACAAATCAATGGACCAGTGAATTGGTCTCGCACTCCCTCTGGCATGTGTGTGGATTTTCCAGTTACTCCGGGTGTGGTAGAGTCCATGACATAAATAGGGTTGTTTCTATAGCAACTGAAATTGCAAAAACACTTCCAAAGAAGCTGTCCAATCTAAATACCATCAAATGCCAACCAGAGCAAAGAGCTAGTAGTAAATTCTGAAATTCTTCCAAATTCAATTGAGACAAAGCCTTAAATGAGATTCTCCTCTCTCCTGACAAGCATATCAGATACATAGTATTAACCCCTAATGCTAGCAGTTGATGCTGTGACAATTAATTCCTTCCAGGGATAGTACTGGAAGGTAGACAGCAGTGATAAATCAGATTGTATCAACAATGGCAAACACAGAGACTTGCAGATCTCAGGAAGTTCAATGGCAGATATAATATCAGCAGTTACAGGTGTTGCTCGAGTGCACCAACACACAACAGAATAGATCACAAGATCGATTCAGATGAAAAAGTCTCTTCAGCCCACCTGATCTCATCCTTTCAGAATGCCCACCCTACCACCTTCCTATCACAGCATTCAGCCTTTTTTTTTTAAATGAGTTATTATGAAGGGTTTCTGATTGTCAGCCAGGAAATTTTGAGCAGAACCCATCTCCCACTCTAATTCCCGGAAGGAGCGCCCAGAATGAGGAATCTCTTTTATAGCATGTTACAAAAATCTTCCATAGAATTATTTTTCTAGAATGGGGCATTCTCAATTTAATGAATTTAAGACAAAGTGGTCCTAAGATTAGGCTAAGATTAGGTGGAATTTTAAAGTGTCAGAAGTGTTGCTTAACAAAAAAAATACAAATGTTTTCTTTTAAATCTGGAGATGAGGCAGCAATGAACTAGACAGAAGCAAAGTGGTTTTTAGTTTAACTTAAAAAAAGTGGAAATTATTTTCAACCAACCAACCACTGCCTTTATGTTTAAGCAAGAGGATTACTAGAATCAACACATACAGATTAAAAAAGAATTGTCTGCAGACAACAGGTATTATGCAATGAAGCACTGAATGCATTTCAGTGTTTACACTTGCGTCAAGAATACTTACCTTTTCCACACCAACAACATTGAAAAAAAATAGTTCTGAGATTCAAAATCAACTTCCTGCAGGGAGGGGAATGAAATGAGAGAGAGCTCCATAAATTCAGCTGCTATTTTGGGAGCCTGTCTGACTGGTTCCTTCACCCTCTCCAAATACAGTGCGGTCCAGGACAGATTTCTACTTCTGTCTAATTTGTCATTTGTAATTTTTAATATATGTAAATGATCTGGACTTGGGTATAGCAAGCACCATTTCCAAGTTTGCGTACGACACAAAGTCGTAATAAACAGTGAGAAGGATAGTAGCCAACTGTAGGAAGACATAGACAGAATGGTAAAATGGGTAGACACATGGCAGATGAATTTCAATGCGGAGAAATGCGAGGTAATGCATTTTGGTAGAAAGAATGAGGGGAGGCAATATAGGCCGGTAATACAATCTTAAGGGGGGTGAAAGAACAGAGACCTGGCGGTTCAGGTAAATGAATCCTTGAAGGTGGCAGGACAGGTAGATATAGCTGTAAAAAGGGCATATGGGATACTAGGCTTTATAAATAGGGGCATAGAGTACAAGAGTCAGGAGGTTGTGATTAACCTATATAAAACACTGGTTAGGCCTTAGTTAGAATACTGCGCCCAGTTATTATTTATTATATATGTTATACATTATATATTATAGAATTATTATACTTTGAAACGCATCTTGAGCAACGCACTGTCAATACTGCAATCTGACACCAAGGAGATGTTAGCACACTCTCTACAGAGAGGAATTAGTTGCACCTCAAATGTGCAGGAACAGACAGTACAAGAACCGATATGATTACACACAACATGTGTTGTGCTCAAAACTGCTGCACCTTTTTCGAGGAATATAAGGTTCACATACAGTCGATACTTAACTATAATAATTTGGTCACTCAATCTATGACTGTTTGTGGGTCACTGCTGTGCGTAATTGGCTGCCACGTTTCAGCAACAAAATATATTTTGGAGGATTTTTTTTAGATAATACTGCATTGTCCTCAGCATGTAATCTGTTCCGCAATCAACAGCAATCAGAGCAGTTCACCGGTATACATTCCAGATTTGCACATCAACTACAGTATTTGCTTTACAGAACAATCTAAAATCTATTACTAGCTAATGTGCCTGATTCCTGCAAGACAGGATTTCTACATGACTGAGCTGCATACCAGTAGATTTGACTGCAGTCAAATTTCCTGTGTGAAAATTGGCTGTTGTATCTGCCTACCAAAGTAAACACACTACACTGCACAGTAAATCCTATGAAGCGAGTTCCTGACATACCAAATGAAAAGCTTATTTGTATTATTATTAGTTGGTGTTACAGGCAATGCTGACTGTTTACTTATGCTGTTCAGTATGTTATTACGGCAGTAACTCAGCATGGTTTCTCCTTGTTCACCCTATTGAATCCCCTCATAATTTTGAAAACTTCTATTAAGTCTCCTCTTAACCTTCCCTGCTCCAAAGGAGTATAATCCTAGCTTCTCTAGCCTCTCTTCATTCCTGATACCATCCTGGTAAATCTCCTTTGCGCCCTCTCCAATGCCTTGACATCCTTCCTAAAGTGCGGTGCCCAGAACTGAACACGGTACTCTAGCTGAGGCCTAAAGATCGAGAAAAACAGTGTGTTAACTTAAAACCATAGTAATTCCTGGAAAAGTCACTTAGACCAAAAGTGAATATCCACAGGGTTATCTATCATTACAATTTAAAATAATTGACAAAAGTACCAGAGGGGTGATGAGGAGAATTTTTTTTACATGGCGAGTTGTTATGGTCTGGAGTGCATTACCTGAAAGGGTGGTGGAAACAGATGCAACAACAATCTTGTAAAGAGAATTGGATAGTTAATTGAAAAAGAAAAATTTGCAAGGATAGGGAGGAGTTCGTCTGATTGAGAAACTTTTCCAAAGAGGCCCAGGCATGATGGACTGAATGGCCTCCTTCTATGCTGTAATATTCTATGATTCTACAATGCAGAGAGTACAAGTCCATTAAAAATCAATTCATGAATTACCATCAAGCATGGCAACCAAAAGCCAAAATTCCACTAGGGTCAGCCTGTAAGACAATTGCCCAGAATAGTAGGAAAATCTTCATTTCAATCTGAATTTTTTTCAAAAAAAAAAGTAAAGTGGAAAACTGGCTTCCAATGGAATAATTCTGCAAGATCTTAATTTTTTAACATAAAACAAGCTTAAAGGCTAAGACTATGTCAAATTTCAACTCATATGCCCCCCTTTACCCTCCTGACGCCATTTAATTATTATTCTATTTACTGGAGCACATGTGCTCTGATCCCCCTGTCAGCCATTTGGCTGACAAAGGACAATATACAATTTACATTTATGTAGCGCCTTTCATGTCAGGAAGATGACTCAAAGTGCTCAACACTGCTGCCTGGGGTAGGAACCAAAGGGATGGGGCAGAAAGAAAGGTCAAAGAATTACATGTTTCGCTCACAAAATACAGACAATCCACTTTACAATATATCCTGTGAAGTGTTTGAGACATCTTGATGACGTGAAAAGGCGCAAGGAATATTATTATTATTAAGGCAAGTGAGGAAACAAATCGGAGAGACTCCATGCCGAAGTTGCAGAGAATAGCCAATCAAACACACAGCAGTCACCAAACCAGGGAACCTTGCTGACTGTCAGCATGGCTCAGGTACTGATTGGCTAAATGAACTGAAACACAACAACAAACAACAGCTTCCATTTCTATAGAGCCCTTCATGCGACTTAGCACCTCGAAGCATAAGCACAAAATAAGCTATCCAAGTCACTGAGACAGCGTAAGTTAAAAAGTTGTTACAATTGTTTCTGAAACAGGAAGAAAGTAAACAGCAGAACATTCTTGAGTGGAATATCCTTACTTTAGGTTTGCAGAGCCATCTCTTCACTATGCTCGGTAGCATCCTCTCTGGCACTTCAAGGAGCTGGGTCTTCAATCCTGATGTCTGATGCCTTTGGTCTTCCTTCACTTGTTTTTGGTAAACTCTGTCTGACTTGGTGACATTTCTCACACCTGTTCTCAGGTATCCTGGTATAGCTTTCTCTCCCTCTTAGGGTATTACTGTTCACTCTCACTCCCTGGCCAGAGGACTTATCTTCACTCACTCTGTTAGGTTCTCAGTTCCCTTGGGTAAGATTGTAATCCTCACTCACTCAGTTAAAATGGTAATCCTCAAATCTCTCACTTGGTTAAGGTAGTAATCTTCACTCACTTGGTTAGGCTGTTGCTGTTCCTCACAGAGTGAAGGTTTCTCTCACTCTTACTTGGTTAGGGTAGTCATCCTCACTTTCTCACTCACCTAAGGTAGTAACTTTCATTCAAGACCATTGCTCCTCACTCACCCCCCACCCCGTCTCTCTCACACAGACTCTCTCTCTCTCACCCCTAACTTTGTGTAATGTATTCACTCATTTAATCTCTCCCCTTTATCACAGGCTCCCTCACTCCCTGGCTGTCAGGCTCCCTCACTCCCTCACTCCCTCACTCCCTGGCTGTCAGGCTCCCTCACTCCCTCACTCCCTCACTCCCTGGCTGTCAGGCTCCCTCACTCCCTCACTCCCTCACTCCCTGGCTGTCAGGCTCCCTCACTCCCTCACTCCTCACTCCCTGGCTGTCAGGCTCCCTCACTCCCTCACTCCCTCACTCCCTGGCTGTCAGGCTCCCTCACTCCCTCACTCCCTGGCTGTCAGGCTCCCTCACTCCCTCACTCCCTGGCTGTCAGGCTCCCTCACTCCCTCACTCCCTGGCTGTCAGGCTCCCTCACTCCCTCACTCCCTGGCTGTCAGGCTCCCTCACTCCCTCACTCCCTGGCTGTCAGGCTCCCTCACTCCCTCACTCCCTCACTCCCTGGCTGTCAGGCTCCCTCACTCCCTCACTCCCTGGCTGTCAGGCTCCCTCACTCCCTCACTCCCTGGCTGTCAGGCTCCTTACTCTCTAACAATCACTTTCTCACTGACTCTCGGTCTCATCTCTCACTCACTCTTTCACTTTGTCACTCACTCTCTCTCTCTGACACACTTTTTCACAGGGTATATGCCTCACTCTCTGGTACAGTTGGGAGTTGCCCTCAGTCACTCCCTCCCCTCGCTCAGCGCTGACATAATTCGGCTCCGTCATTCCAGCCGCCGCTCGGCCGCGGCTCCGCCGCTCACCTGACGCTCACACCTGTCTGAATCATAATTTACGCGCTGACGCACGCGCGTCAGTCCCACCGTTCACGCACACTATGCCCCGCCCCCGCAGCACACTGCGCCCCTCCCGCCAAAAGAGTGACAATTACAAATGTACTCCAAATGAATGAGAGTGAGGATTATAAACCTCCTCATTTGGGAGCAAAAATATACTTAAGCATAAAATGTGTCAACATCATATCAATAACCAAGTTTAAAAGAAACTCTGCAAATGAAACCCTCACTCTGCACGTGAGAATAAGTGAGGAGCAACAACCCACCTTCAGCAAGTCAGTCACTTCACGATTACCATTTTAACTGAGTGAGGGTGATGACACCTCTGGGGAGGGGAGTCAAAAGCAAATGGATACACAGGGAAGCGTGTGAATGCAATCGTCATTGGGGACACAATGGTGAAAGGAGTAGACAGGCGTTTCTGCAACCAAAGATGTGACTGACTTGCATGGTATGTTGGCTCCCTGGTGCCAAGGTTGAAGACATCACGGAATGGGTGCAAAACATTCTACAGGGGGAAGGGGAACATTCAGAAGTCGTGGTCCATGACATAATTTACACGCTGAGATCCTACAGGGAGAGTATCAGAAGCTAAAGAGTAGCCAAAGGTGGTGATCTCTGGATTACGCCCAGTGCCTTGTGCAAGTATCAAAACAGCAGATCAAACACATGAATCCATGGCTGGAGAAATGATGCAGAAAGAAGGGCTTCAGGTTCCTGGATCATTGGGACCAGTTCTGGGACAGGTGGGACATGTACAAGGTGGATGGGGCACACCTGAACATGGCTGGGACCAATGTCCTCGCAGGGAGGTTAACTAGTGCTTTAGGGAAGGGTTTGAACTAATTTCAAGGGTGGAAGGGAATCAGGATGTAGTATTAGAGAGGACAAACAAGTTTCATAGAGGACTGGGAGAGACGAATAGCAATGTAATAATTAGTAATCCAGAAAAAGGAGAGATTAGACGGGGGAGAAATACAGAACAGACTAAGTCGGTGTTGGAGCACATGTGTACAGAGTGTGACAAAAAGGTTGGTGAGCTGCAGCCTCAAGTTGCCACATGGGGTTATGATGTAGTGGCAATAACAGAGACCTGGCTCAAACAAGGGCAGGAATGGGAGCTGAATATTCCACGCTACAATGTATTCAGGAGGGATAGGGAAGAAAGAAAAAAGAGGGGGGGCGGTAATATTGATTAAGCACACGGTTATGGCCCTTAATGTGCTAGAAGGTCCAAAAACAGAATCTAATTGGTTAGAGTTAAGGAGCAGAAAAGGAGCTGTTACTTTGTTGGGTGTATACTATAGACCAGGGGTGGGCAATTATTTTGGCTGGCGGGCCACTTACGAGTTTTGGTAAAGCTTCTCAGGCCACACGCTTAATATAGATGCAAATGCTTAATAATAGCTCAAAATCAAGTCTTACACTTGCACATGCATAAAATAAAGTCTATATAACTGACATACATTCAAATTAGGCTAAATAAAAACAACTCATTGAGCAGACATTTATTCAATATTTATTCATTTATTCACATATTGATGAGAATGTGAGAAGTTCACTCAATGGGAAGAATGAAAGCGCTGATGCACGTTAACCAGACAATTGAAGTCAGGCATCGTCTCAGTTGTTGCAATGTGGAGTACTGCTGCAAGGTGGTCATCACAGATCTATGTTTTGATTTATTGAATTTCATCACAGAAAATGTCTCCTTGCATATATATGTTGATCCAAAAGCACAAGCATCCTCCGGGCATGAGCCTTTATTTTTTGAAAGATATATTCATTAAGAGGCGTAAAAACTAGGAAGCGGCACTGATTTGAATTGCACCGCAAGCAATGGATCACATCGCAGGTCAATGAGCTTGAGTCAGAGGTCAAATGGGGCTTTGTCAACATCAAATGAGAAAGGTGAAGAGACCAATTTTCATTTTCAATCAAATTGAAATCCTGGAATCAGCGAGAAAACTCAGCATGTAAGTCAAGTAGTGACAAATTATACTTTTTAAGGCTTTGATCGCAAACAGTAATCTGCTGCAAAGTTGGAATGTGGGCGAACTGCCTGTTTCCTATCTGACGCGATGAAAGAAACAATTTTGTTATAAATGATTTGACACTGCAATACAAATCGTACACAAAGACCCCCTTCCGTTGCAGTTTTGAATTCAGTTAATTCATGTGGCCCATGATATCAATGGCAAATGCGAAATCAGAGAACCAATTTGCATTATTCAGCTGTGGGAAATCCAAATCTTTTTGTTTCATGTTCAAAAATAAATCAATCTCTGCTCTCAGTTCCCACACTCTTTTCAAGACCTTTCCTAAACCAAGCCATCTTACATTTGTGTGATACAGAACACCCTCGTGCTCGGATTCCAATCCTCAAGCAGAGTTACAAATTGCCAGTGGTTTAATCCTCTTGCTCGAATGTAATTGACCACTTCCGTAACTGTGTCCACGACATTGCTTAGTTTTAGAACACTCTTACAGAGGACCTCTTGGTGAATAATGCAGTGTAGAAAAACAATATTCTGTTCTGGATTTGTTTCTTTGACTTGATCTTGAATTCTTTTCAGCAACCCAACATTTTTGCCTGTCAGATTTGGGCTTCCATCGGTGGTCACATTCACCAATTTTTTCCACTCCACTCCTAATTTTAAGATACACTTATTTACTGCCTCGCTTAGTTTATTTTGTAACTGCAGATACAGGTTCTCAGAGATATCCTCAACACGTCTCACAATAGTTTGCCTTGACAGGCTAATGTTCTCAACTTCAGAGAATGGTTTGCTGTTCTTGGCGATTTTGTGTGCAATCACATAACTCACTATGGTAATCTCATCCTGGAACGCAAATTGTTTTGTGAAAACGTTTTGCTCTTTTTGCATTTGAACAACCATCTCATCAGCTTTCTTTCCTTTGGCAGAAACATTCTTATTTTGCAAGCATATTTGCTCTCAAAATGGTGATTCAAGTTGTAGTCTTTGAGCACTGCCACACTTTCTTTGCAAATTAAGCACACAGCTTTTCCACCCACACTGGTAAAAAAAATTTAAAAGTCCATTCTTTGTTGAATATTCGGCCTTCAGGGTCCACTTTCCGCTTCTTTGATAAACTCATTTCGAATTAACGTCCTCTTCAGTGAATAGTATTGCCGCGGTTGCCGCACACGCGTTTGAAAATTTGCCGATCCATACATTTCTGACATCAGCCTGATTCAACACTTAAGGGAGCGTGCACACAACTAACCAGTGTGATTGGCTAATGTTCCCGGTCTGATTCAAATGCAAAATTTGTGGAGAAAAAAAACTAATGACTTTAGCAATTAAAAATCGATGCTGTGACAAAAGAAATGTAAGGGATGCATTTAAAACTGATCCTTTCTGGTACTGAACAAACTATAATTTTTTCTATTAGTAGACAATGACAGACCGGATAACATGATTTGGCGGGCCGCATTTTGCCCACCCCTGCTCTCGACCATCAAATAGTGGGAAGGAGATAGACAAGCAAATCTGCAAGCAGATTTCAGAAACATGCAAAACCAATACAGTAGCGATAATGGGGGACTTCAATCATCCTAACATAGACTCGCAAAATAACAGTGTAAAGGGCAAGAAGGGGGAAGGATTCTGGAAATGTGGGCAGGATAACTTTCTGGATTTCCAGCCCAACGAGGAAGGAAGCAATGCTAGAACTAGTTCTGGGGAATGAAGTGGAGCAAATGGAGCAGGTTTCAGTAGGAGAGCATCTGGACAACAGTGATCACCACATAATTAGGTTACAGTACTTATGGAAAGGGACAAGGAAAAGTCCTGTAGCTCAGTGGTTAGAGCACTTGCCTTGCAAGCGAGACACCTGGGTTCAATTCCAGGCAGGGCGAAACCTTGGGCAAGTTTCCTTGCTCCACACACCTAATAATAATCCCTCCAAAACAAAAATAAATTGGTCATTCTCAATCCACGACTGTTTGTGAGACACTGCTGTGCGCAATTGTCTGTTGTGTTTCGCCCACAAATATACGGTCAATTCACTTTACAGTGTGTTCTGTGAAGCGCTTTGGGACGTCCTCCCAACGTGAAAAGCGCTATATCAAATGCAAGGATTATTATTATTATGGAAGGAGGGTTAATTTCAGTAAGTTAAAAAGGGACCTAGCCAAGGTGGACTGAAAAGAAAGACTGGCAGGTAAAACAGCCAATGAGCCTTCAAGGAAGCCTTCAAGAAGGAGATAGTTCGGGGACAGAAAGTACAGAGGAGAACTGAAAAAGGAAATAAGAAGGTAAAGAG